GTATTGGACATATGATATTTATCTCTAAGCATCTTTAAAGGTTTGGATTTTACATTTTTGTATTGCATAATATATTCATAATCAGCAGGTGATAGTTCGACTGCATCAGATCGCATGGTTTTAATAATAGTATCAGTAATATTGATAATAATAAAAAAATCATTATTGATAATATCAGTAATATCAGTAATATTGATAATATTTGTAATGTATTATTACTGATAATACCAGTAATATTGATAATAATAAAAAATCATTATTGATAATATCAGTAATACCAGTAATATCAGTAATATTGATAATATTTGTAATGCGTTATTATTGATAATATCAGTAATATTGATAATATTCGTAATATGTTATTATTGATAATACTGTATAAAAAAAAAACTTTATTAATTATAGCTAAGACAAAAATACATGGCTAATGTACATATATTACGAGATATCAACTCACCAAAAGGATATCGACTTGGGAGTACTAGGGAATTGGAACTTGAAGAAGCTTTACATGATAGTTGTATAACCAATTCTGAACTTATTGAGGATTTTAAAAATTACCAGAAGGTATATTCAGAATTTAGTAAAAATATTAAACAGGATAAAGCGCAATTACAACTTGATCTAAATCAAACCAATAAAGATAAAGAGAAACTTTTTAAGCATAGTTGTCAACTTTTTAATAAAGTTAAACGACTGAGAGTGGACAATACTAACCTTACATCCCAGATTACCCGATCACAGATTTCCAGTAATGAGTATAAAGCCAGGTATGATATCCAATTAAAAGAAATAAAATCACTCCAGGCTATAATTAAGATATTGGAGGGTAAGTTAGCATCAGCTCAAAAAGTCGCATTTTCGATTCAGGAAAACTTATCAAAAACAGAATTTGAGAATTTATCCATTAAATCTAAAATAGGTGAGTTTAAACAAATAGAAGTTGAATTGAAGTGTGTGAGAAGTGAACTCAATCACCTGAAATCGGAGGCTATATCAAAACCTGTAGACCCTTTGGGACATGATTCGAAGAAGAGACAGAGTCTCGAATCTCCGATTTATCACCTAACAGCTTGTTCTGCAATAATTAATGGAGATGATGAAGGGTAGAGCCCTATTGTTTCCGCAATAAAAAATATATCAAATTCTGGAGACACATCTGAATCAAAAAGTCTCATGAAGTATCTTGTAAGTAAAAAGAAAACAGAACAGGCAGAAAAAATAGATACTTCTCAAACTAGTCAGGAGTCTTCAACTAATGATATATCCAATGTAAAAAATGATCTAGTAATAAGAAAAAATGAAAAATACCAATTATTGCGAATAAGCAGAACCCAAAACCTTCGATTCAAGATATTATAATAGGAGGGGCATTAGGTACTGGCAAATCTCTCGTTAACAATGAGTATTAAACATCTCCAATTATCAAGCTAGACATCTTTGTAATAATAGTGATATTTATTATATGGATTTTATGTAGGCTTTTTTTATACAAACACAAATCAGAACATAATAAGGGTTTAATCTTAAATGCAAACAAATATTTGTCACAAATTATTAAGAAATATATATTACCTTTTCATAAAAATAAACATACAGAAAATAAAACTTTATCTTATGGATATGGATGAAACTACAAAGCATGAATCATCCTGAATTTAGTCTCATTCTGCTGATTTGTAGTTAGAGTAGATATAAAAACAATTAACGTGAAAAAAATATATAAAGCAGATAAATAGATAAGTTAAATGTTGTTATATGTTGTTATATGTTTTTATATGTTGTTATATATTGTTATATGTTGTTATATGTTGTTATAGCAGAGCTAGTGTCTCTGACACATATTAATGTAGGTAATAGTTCATTTTATTGATATTAATACCTATACATTATTGATTTAACGCATTTCTTTTCGAACTGCCCATAATAATTGATAATGTAATTTTAATTCTGAAGCACAGAGACCATAAGGTTTATACATATATTCAATGAATTTACGCTATATTATTGTACATGTTCAAATTTTCTTACCAATTTCTCTTGTATGTTTAACTTTTCTAATAGCACTCTGCATCCACAATTCATAACGGTGTAATGCATACTCATTATCATAACTATGTTCCGAATTGGATTTTTTTGTTTAATTTTCATATATTCTTCATAACTTATATTACAAAAAGAATTTCCAGTACAATGAGAAGCCCAATGTCTCTCCATTCCTATATGATTATAATTACCTATATTTTTGATTCGTTTTCTTGTATATACTAATTGATTGCAAGAGAAACATATTGCAATACCAATTTCAGGTGCATAACTTGTATAAAATTCATGACTCAAAGAATCTGGGCTCTGCCCATTAAGATCATTCCAATATCTTTTTAACTTCCTAGCTTCAAGATATTTTTTTACTATTATAAGGTAAGAGATCATTCTCTCTAAAATATGTAAGACATTTCCAAATCCGTTTTATCCACTCACTGGGAATTTCATTATCATGAACTTGTGGCATCTTACAATATTCACCTCATTCTTCATCTGAACAATTAGAACTCTGATAAGCTACTAAACAGCTAAAATCAACCATTTTATGATTTATTTATTAATTATACGAGATTATGCTATTATATCAGATTTAAGGATTTGGATCTATATACTCTAGAATAATATGATTCAATTTTAATGTAGATTGGGTTTTTAAACCATCTCTTCAAGAATGATATATAAGTCAGAGACTCTATGCTTTGCATATTCGTCATATTTTGTGAAGATATTTGTAATAAAAATGAGAGAAATGTACATATATATTGGTTGAATCGATTCTAAGAGATTATTTATTGCAATAGAGAATTTCCATATTTCACGAATTCGTATATATTATTAAGAAAAAAATATCATAATTTCATACAAAAAATATTATATCCTTGGCAGATTGAAAATAATATCGGAGGCGTCGTGATAATTTCCTTTTTGTAGCTGGTATAACATCCGATGTGACGGTTTCTTCTCTTCCCTTATTAGATGGTATTTCCAAACTTTACGGTTTATTATTAAATATGTGCGCATCGATTAGCATTTTATTTTTGACATTTAAAACCCGGTGGGGCTACACATAATATCGTGATTTAATTGGCTGTAAAATTCGATTATATAAAGCTCTTTCAGGATCGTCTATAGATAATAAATCAGGATTTTCGGATTTACACGAGTTAAAGTATGGTCTAAGTGCGGTTGAAGTGTGGTTGGTAAAATAATTAATTATACAATATATCGTAATATAATATGGAAAGTGCGGTTAAAGTATGGTCAAGGTATGGTTAAAGTACTGTTGAAGTGCGGTTATGTTAGTGGGAAATATACTTATGTGTCATAGACACTAGCTCCGCTATAAAACAAAGCAAAAAAAATCTATCGAACCTAAACATCGAAAAATGGTTGAATGGACAGATGCTCAAATCCGTATACTTATCGATGAGCGTAGAAACAGAAATGATGAATATCATAATCTTGGAAGGAATCGAATCAGATTTTGGGATAGCATTGCAATCAGAATTAATCAAGAGCTTAATACAAGCTTTAACGGGTACCAATGTAAAGAAAAATTTATGAATCTTATTCGGGATTACAATGTAAGTATGACATAGTAAGAATTTTTGCATAACATTTTATCTAGCATGACTAATAATTTATAACAATTAGTTAATGTGTGATTATATGGCAGGGAATCGAAGGGCACGAAGAAGTCGAACGGGAGCGCAATATTTTGATGAATTCCGCACACATTTTTGGGAGAGACCTGAAGATGATTTCGATAGAATCCGCAACATTAATAGTTCTAATCGTAGACAACGTAGAATTGGGGGGAATAATACACCCGCACCAACTACTGGAGAAGTTGAATGGGAATTAAGCAATAGATCTTCTGTTGGACGAGTAAACCGTAGCTCTTCTGTTATTAGTAGAAGGAGTCGAAGACAATTACCCTATCCATCTTCAACCTATGATAATAACACTAATATAAACAATCCTGAGCAAAATATTAACGTTCGCCCACCTCCGATTGAAACATTGTCTCCTTAACCACTCACTACCTTATAGAACCACAAATGAAGCACAAAATAATGATCGGAGTCTAGTTCACGCTAATTCGGAAATGAATCAGAACCATGTCGTTTCTAGTCACGAAGTAACTGTTCCTGGCAGTAATCTAACACCTGATTTGCGAAATTTATCCTTATCGCAAAAATGAAAGAGATGTCATTATGCACGATATAGGAGCTAGTCAACCACTCTTTCCTAAGGAATCTATAAATGAGGAGGGGGTTAGATTCTCGATCATATGTAACATCGCGAAATAGGCATACTTTCAATGATCCGATTAAAATAAATATATTAGTGTGAGCGATTCTTTGGCTAATAAAATTACATTATTTTCTGATTGATGAATTATTTTTACTGTATACTGTATCACAAAGTGATGATGCTATCACATCTAATTATTGTCTGCGAAGCTGGATATCCTATATCTAATATGCGCAGATCAAATAATCCGAATTTTTATACGTCTTCTTCCCGGTATTTAAATCGTAATAATATCCTTCATCATCGTCAGAGAAACCGCAATATCCTTCGTCGTCATCATAATCTTCTTCGTTATTGTAGGAATCCTTATCATCATCATCATTAGATGCGATATCATACTCACTTCGTAAGTCATTATCAGAGAAATTCTCAACTAGAAGTTGGTTCACGTCAATATCGTTATTATCATATAAGTCAGAATCTAAGGTTTCATCGGGTACGTTTACCTCAGTCTTTGGTAAAGATTTGTTATCCTCACTTATCATATCTTCCGAATTAGAAGTATGAAATGATGGGATAGAGGAAGTGGTTGGAACGTCTAACTCCGTTTCCGGTAAAGATTTCTTATTTACATCATTTAAGTTAGATTGTTCAATCACATGCGCGTTACAATTTGTAACGCCGATCATTTTTTTGACATTTAGATCTGCATTTGAATTTTTAGGAAAACAATTTATAATATCTTGAATCTGGTTGTCAGTTAAACTCGAGATTGCACTTGCACTACATGTTATTGCTTGGATTTTTTCTATTCCTATTCCCACAAGTAACGTATAAATCTTTTTTGCTCTGAATGTTCTTTGACGCAAGTTTACATCAGTGATATCTGGGAGAAGTGCTTTTATCTCATTATATACCAATGTTCTTGCTGATTGATCATCAATTTTATTTACACGTTTAATGTCTTCGGTTCGATTCTCATATGCTTTATAGTAACAATACCAGCATAAAATCTCTTTTTGTCTAACTTTCATTGCTATAACAAATAAATCAGCTATATTTTGTGCTGTAATTTTGCTAGATCCTGTTATAATTACTTCTAGCGAGAATTCAGGAATTTGTATATCAAATACATCACTAACTTTATTATTATTGTTTTCTTTAATAAACACAGATAAATCGTGTCTTAAGATTTGCTCTACTCTTTTGTTATATGGAATTTTGATTCCGGTATTTTGTGCTTGATCAGTAGGCATTGATTCTAATCGGGTAGTTTTATGATCATGGGTAATTTCAATAATAGGATTTATCTCAGTAGAAATTGCATTTTGTGTATCAGAAGAGGAAGATGTTTTTCGTACCAATTGTTGCCCTCGGCAAATCTTCTTTTCCATATTTCTTTCTCTTGCCATATTACTAACCCTCTCCTTTTCCCGTAATTCCAAAAATTCGTTAATTTCTTTCTCTTCCGATAATAAAGTTCCTATAGGAATAGGGGATGTGAAAGATCGGCTATCCTTTTCCTGGTATGGATCAAAATCGGGTGTGTTATCGGAACTATTTTCTATTCGTTCAGAAGCAACATCAGAATTTGAAATATTATCAGATATATTAGATGCCGAAGTATCATTAGAATTTTTCATTTTGGTAGAGGTGGTATTAACTGAAGATTGATCGATTCCCTCGGCATCATCATCTGATTTAAAAATAAAGTTGTTCTTTTCATCGGTATTCGATTGCTTCTGTTCTAATTTCGCAACTCTAGCTTTAAGCTCAGCATTTTCAACAGCAGTATCTTTATCGTTCTGCTCCAGTTTCGCAAATCTGGATTCATGTTCTTCCAAAGTCTGTTTTAATTTTACGTTCTCAGCTTTAAGTTCGATGTTCTCAGCCTCAACTTCGGAAAATTTTTTTCCAAGTTCAGGAATCTCGGCATTCTCTTTTCTAAGTTCAGTAATCTCGGATGCAAGCCTAGAGTTTAATTCTCTTAAGGTATTGATTGTTAATTGGTCGTTCGACATTGTTTTATTACAAAATAGGATATATTCAAAAGGTTAATCACATGAAATAATGATGTAAAAAATCGTGCTTTGCTTTATTGATTATAATAAAAATCGAAAAGAATCAATCTATCCATTGTTCTATACTATTGACTACACTACAAATTTTTCGTTTGTCTAAACTATTTGTACCAACACTACCTATAATCCGGCTTCATTTTTATCTATCTGAATAAAATAAAAATGGTCATCAGTTATATATCTATACAAAACATGCAGTGTCGGACAATCCCACGTTAACGGTGTCTGTTAAACTAATTTATCTTTTTTCAGACCTGATAGACAAAACCCGCTGAAAGTTTATGTTTCTTGCCTTCTGCAATGCAAATAAATTTCTCAGAAATCTATACGAAAGAATGGTCATTAGTTTGCAAAGTTCAGAAGTTGATTCGTGTTCGGAACTTTCGCCAAAAATATTGATTGCAGGATCTGGTTGAGCCAAATATACAAAACACGGGTTAAATCACGTGATATGTAAATGAAATCTGGATAATATTGATGCGCAAATCGAAAAAATAATCTTTTACCTATTCACAGACCTCGCAGTAATCATGTCTAAAATACACGAATACTTTAAAAAGAAATACACGAAATGGGGCATTATCGACTTCTTGAATGAGTGTGACATAGAGTCATTTGATTCCATGATCGACGATTATGTAAAATCACTCGATGCTATTGCTAATAGTGGACAAGGCGAAAATCAGGAGCGAGCAAAACAGCTTCTTAATAGATATAGAAAGGCAAGTAAATCTTTTTATCGTAAAATGTAGAAAGGAGAATAGTGGCGTGATAAGGACCTCTGTGTTTTTATCATTCAAGGCTCTTTGCTGAGCCACAAAACCAGTGTTGGGGCACAGGTGAGCTCCTCGTTCACCTGATGTTCAAGGCTCTTTGCTAACCCAGCATTGGTCCCACTGGGGCACAGGTGAGCTCCTCGTTCACCTGATGTTCAACGCTCTTTGTCGACCTGGTGGGGCTGGGAAATTGATAATATTCTTAACTAGTATATTATTAACACTTAAATTTGGTAGGATCCTCGACCTGATTATCAATCTGCCAGGAAATGGAAAAGTGACCGCAATTCAACTAGTGCGCATGATGGATCTTCAGTTAATTTTCATAATTCAACATTCACAGGGAATCTGGTGCGAACTGGAAGTATTAGCGGAAATCTTAATTTGTCCAATAAAGCGCCAAAGAGGGATATAGAATATGAAAAGGTACTGATACATATTTTTAACTAGGTAGTTAAGGCAATTAGCAAAACCAACTATTTCCATTTTGTTATTTTTAGAATCACGTTATTAAGGAAGAAAGAGCTTTCAAAAAAAGTCGACCACAATCTCCAGAAAATGAGGTAACGGTATTTTTATTGTTTTCATCTTATCATTCGCAGTAGAATCGTTTTTTCTTATAATTTAGATCTTGGATGATGATCACAACGACAAATAAAAAGAGTTTTTATCTTTAATCAAGCATGATCTTAGAAAGATTGAGAGAAAAAATTATGTTGAAAACATTTCATCAACTGACGATTTAGATTTAGATAATCTGGAGGAAAAAAGTAATCGTAAGCAATAAAAAATAATACATTATGGTTCGGATTAAAAATTACTGTTTCTATAATCTAAAACTTTCATAGGACGAATTAAATTCCGGAATATCATCTGTTTGTGAAGACGAAGATGAATATTGCTCAGATGTCAATTCTGATAAAGAAGATACAGCCGAACTTGCAGATATCTCATTTAATTCTTTTGTCAATTCAAAAACTGATAACAAAAATTATAATTGGAAATTAAAAAATAATGAAAGCGTTAGAGGTCGGCTTATAAATATGACAAAAGAAGCGATTGAAGAGGCAAGAAAAACCAAAAAAGTAGACTCGAAACTAATGAATATTATAAGGTAAAATATGATAATAATAGTATTATGGATAGTATTTTAATTTATTAATTACTTGACAAACGTATGTATAGGTTGGGACTGTCATCCATCGTAGATCTTTCGTCGGAATTCAAAGGAAGCATGCACTCCTGGTTCGGGGACAATTGGATGCCATTAAAGAGAGAAGTATTATCAAAAATTGACCTGAAAGTCGAAAAGTTTACTGGAGAAGTATCAGAATTGATAACAAAAGTAGAAAATGTATATAAACTGTACTACCTGTTGAAGCTATATATTACCAAATGTAGTACCAAATTCTTACAATTTTCATTACACTATACATTAGCTATGTGGTTCATACGATTATTTGGGAGCACGAAAAATTCTATTAGAAAAAGTAATAGAACGACCCGTTGATAGTCAAATAAGACAAGTTGCTAAAATATATTTTAACATGTACATTTATTATTTATTATTATTTTTTTTTGTTCCGCTATTCACCATGTTGAAATTTTATTTTTTCAGTATTGATTTGTTTTTAGAAAATCCCTATATCTTCATTAAAAAAGATGGCCGGCTCCAGAACCATACCGAAATCCAATATGTAATGATTTTAGCAGGCCCTATTTTAGATATAATATTCTCAGATCAACGAGATTTTGTTAGATTGATATGGTAAGTGTTTTTGTTAACTCAGAAACAGTTATCAATTGTGAATCTGACAAATTGTTACAAATTTTCAGGGGAGAAACGGTTTCGAAAGTCACTAATGATTCGAGAAGAAAAATTGACCTTTGTATAAGAACCGAAGATGGTACAAAAGAGTTGAGCCATTCCGAGTGTGCACGGGAAGCTACATTTGTAAAAATTCTAAAAGATAGATGTAAATCTCTAAGAACCAATAAATGTATACTTGATAAATATCTCGAGAACAATATTCCTGATGAAGCCTTAGAAGATACAGCAATTTTTGGGTTACAGCTGGCAGGTAAGATCGTAGCATCATTGAATATTATATTTTTTAGAATTTATCACTTTCACGTTTCTAATGACATATATTTTAGCTTTGGAAGGTCAATTAATTGGAATTGATTTACTGGACGAAGGGCTTTATTTTGGATTTGATGGACCGGCTTTTAATTTTCCCGCACAGATTTGTAATATTGAAGTCTTAAGACAAGCATTGGAAGTTTTGTATTATTTTAAGGTAGGTGAATTTGATCTTTTTTGAAGTCTTATGCTCAGCGAATATAAAAACGCTCATAAAGATTCAATGGATAATAGGAGAAAGTTATCAAAAAAGCAAAATATTTGCTTCAGAATTCATGCAATAACAAGATTACCAAACTTCTCCATTCTGAAATTATTGAGAGGCCGAATCACTTCAAAATTAATTATATCCGGAAAACTTATTTTGAACCAAAGAAACAATCTTTAGTTAACGAATCCAATGATTTATACCTTAAATTTAAAGACAAATAGTAGATGATGCTTCACTTATTTTAACTAAGAAAATATATAGATTAATTGTTTTTTTGCATCAAGCAAAATTGTCTCTGTAACCGCGTTTAGTGAAACAAGTATAAATATATAACATCAAACATTGCTCAATAAGGCCAATTTTCGGGAATAATAATGGGTCTTCATAATACCAGACACCTTAAATGATTAAGTTTTTTTCACACAATTCTTTCTTTAGTTGATCCCGTGCTTTATATCTTTATGCATAAAAATCATGCGTTACAATTTGTAACGCAGATCATATATTACAGTATATGTGAAAAACTTTATTTAACCCGTGATCTTTGATATATTTACATAGGAAAATCGTGATGAATTTTTACTATATAACTACATTATCGCTTCGCTATACTATTCGGAATCAGATACCGGATATTCTGCATTCCATCCACGTCAGGCATGCGTCAATTCTACAAATAATTAATAATTAGTATAGGCACCGTGACTGCAATATACGGTACAACATAATTAAATACTTACCAATGTTTCCTCGTCTCTTATCACAAGCTTTATCCGGTATATCAGTTTGCCATTTTTTCGGTGTAGAAAGACGAATTTGAGAGTTCAAACCTTCCACATTCTTTAAGTCTTGAGTGATTGGTTCTGAAATAACTTTCCCTTTTGAATCTCTTTCTATTCCATTCTTAAGATCATCGTAAATCCTCGAAAAGTCCCGCTGGTGGTGAAAGAAAGAACTATGTACGAAATATACTATGCTATGGCGGATGCCTTTAGTGACTATAAAGTTTCCATGAAGTAATAAACGCGAAGAAAATAATATAACCTGTCCAGGCCGAAGTGGAACAATTATTTTAAGTTGAGGGAAACAAAGTTCACCTCCCTCAAAATCTCCCAATGCGACCAAGCAACAGAAACTATTCGGTTCATCGTTCCCGTCCCAATGGTAGTCACTTATAGTATTATAGTTAATTGCTATCATCGGAAAAACTCCAAATGATTGAGGAGCAAATGCGCCCATTTTAATTTACTTAATTTCTCGTATAGATTACCATAATACTTTTTAAGAAATCGATTAATAGAATTAGATAGCGGGTAGAGGTCACAGATCAATTTATTAACGCACTCTTGACGATCGGAATTATGGCTACTTGCCATATTAGAACTTGTATATGGAAAAGGATTGTTGAAAGTAAATGCACCAAAATGTTCTATAAAATTTTTCCAAAAACCTTCACTTCTATGCGATTTGTGCTCTAATGTGTGGTGATAATAAAAATTGACGCTTTCGGTTGCTTTTATTACTGCCCCAAAATCATCTACTAATCCTAGGTGAAGCAAGGTCTGGCTATTAACATCGACGACACATCCCGGATTTATTAAGCAACGGAACCCAGTTATTTCTGTAGAAGATCGCCATTTACAAATCATTCGGATCTTTTCTTTTTCTGTAATACGTGGTGAACCTGGATTAAAAATATTTGCCGTGATATTCGTAACCGGAAATTCATTTTTACCTTGAAAATCCAACGAATGTCGTAATCTTTGCCACCCCAACCGGAGATGTTGTCTCACTTCCCTTTTTTTTATTTTCCCTTTAAAGCCTAGCCAAACCCCGAATGAAATCCATAAGCTTTTATCCAATTCTAGCGAGGTACCATCGATAATATCTCTATTCACCAATGCGGAAAATTCAGAAGGAATCTCCAATGAATTATACACATCATTTTTAACGTAGCATTTCTTTCAAGTCGTCCAGAGATTTATACGATGAATAACTTCGTAATTTTCTCTCTGATATCTCATCAATGAACTTTACGAGTACTGTTGCAGGTCCTCCTTTCATACCATAACTGCGAAACTCTGCTTTGGTTGTTTCAAGAAAAGCGAGACCAGATATTTTTTCATTGCGCAAGATTTTGAAATCCTCATTATCCAGTTTTGGATTCCGCCTTTGTAAATAATCGATAAGTTCTTCCGTATCTAGGTCTTTTACAACGTCAACCATCGTGCGAGTTGACCTTTCTTCCGTCAGAGTAGAGGATGTAGAAGCTGGTGAGAAGGGTGAAGAAGCGTGTGAAGACATGGTAGTATTTTTATACGTGGAAATTTGTAAAATCTTGTTTATGTATCTGGCTAAGAAAAGCTAGATGATGCGATGCAAGTGAAAAATTTTTATCGCATCTATTTTGGGGTGATCGGTGCTTTATATACGACGGAAATTACACGAACTGATCTGTACACGACTAACGTATTATTGCTTTATTACGAAACGAAATACATTGCCCGTAATAGCGGAGCTAGTGTCAAGACACATAAGGCAGATACAAAAAATAAAATTGCGAATATGTATCGCTATTACATGGATAAAAAAAATCCAATTATTCAGCAGAGGGGTAGATAATAACATTTATAGGACCTATTTCACCATCTTCTGAAAGATAAGGGGGATTTGTTCTAAGAGCGTGGATGTCTAAGACAGTAAAATACTCGGAAATTATTTCTTGTGGATTCATAAGTTGTCCCTCTCTATTATCGGGTGTGGTAGGATTTTTTAATGAACCGACTAAAGCATTATTTGATTAAAAAAAATTCTTCTTATATAGATCGAATTCATTCGTTACGTTGATTGCTTCGAATTTTATTTTTGAGAAACTCTACCGACTCCCCATTATCGACAGATAGAGTGAAAATACCATCGACTCCAACACCTCGAATAATAAAGTTAAGGTCGATATCAGGCATTTCGTATTTCCTACATGTAAAAACTCGGTGGTTAAAATTTCACTCTTGCTTCATAGTCACGATTCACAAGTATATAGACGAACCTCAACACATACCTTAAAAAAATTCGTAGGAAGGTAAGAAATAAAGTCTTCCTAAAACTTGCTTATTTATAACGTTTTCATTTGCTCGATCTATAACTTACTGGAAAAATGAACCAATCTTTATCGAACAAATCTCCGAACCCTGGAAATGACGAAATTAAGTGTTACCGAATTCATAAGTAAACCTGTTACGATTTAGCCTCCATAGAAAGTGTCGTCATATGTAACTAAACGCCAAGGCCTGTGAATATGCGGAGTATTTCATCATAGGCACACGAATGAATCCCTTTTGGTTCGAGATCGCTCCTGTAAAACGAAAAATTGGTTAATCGCAATGACGATCCGGAATTACGGAGATTACAAAGTTCCATAACTGTCATTTTCTGATAACAGAGTTGATAGGGATCAACGAGTTCTTTACCCTTATTGCCTTTTCCAGTTTCGTTTGCGCATT